GTAGGCCATTTCCTGGGGGAATGGGTCCTGGGACACCCAGCCATACTCCAGTCCCTCCTGGCCAACCATGGGCTGAGAGGTTCTGTCTGGAATGGAGACCCAAGTGGACCCCACCTATTGCCCTACCACCATCCATCCCCCCAACTCCTGTCTACCACCAGCCTTGTCTTTGAGAGGTGAGGTCCAAGCAGGCAGCAGGCAGACTTGGGCAGGAGGTGATCAGTCACCAGGTTGACCATCCTAAGTTCAGCCCCTTGAAGGGAGTCCCTGATCCCTCAGCACAGGTGAGCTCAAAGGAGAAAAAGGGTTTTTCCAGGGGAGGCCTCTGGTGGGGGTGGAGGTGGCTGGTGCTTTTGTAAGTTTCTGGATGGTTACGTGTTGGACTTGAATTTAGAAAGTGTCAGATGTTGCACGGCCCTTGCAGCAGCCTGTGTATCCAGGGTCAGCCTGTGGGCATGATATGAATGCTTGTTGTGGGGCAGGGACCCGTATGTGGGCCGGGACGATGAATGTGGTGCAGGGATGTGTGCCAGACCCCAAGGGAGGTGTGGTTGGCTTCATCAGTAGTTTAGAGAGTCCCCGGCAGCCCAGGCGGGGGAAGAGCCAGTGCAAAGGCCTGGAGGTGGGAACAGCTGAGGGGAGATGGGAGACCTGGTGGGAGTGGTGGGTAAATGGGGGGATGCAGGAGGGATGTTGCGCGCAGGGAATGACCCCTTTAGAGTCACCACACCCCCATTCCCGGTGCCCTGTGGACATGGCAGGGGATGGGTGCTCCCCAAGCCTCCCCTTCTCCACCATCACAGCACCGGGCACTGCCACCTGGAAGGACACAACCAGGCCTCCCTTGGGGTGTCCCCATCCGGCTGGAACGAAGAACAGCTCTCGGGAGGAGGGGACAGGAGTCACCAGCCCGAGGCTGTCACTTGTCCCTGCTCAGCCTCCCTGCCCTTACCCACCCATGGGACCACCCCTGCCCAAGCTGTCGGGTCCACTCATTCATTCATTCCATACAGCTATTTTCTGGGCCTCAGAGGAAACAAAACAGGTCCTGACCAGGTACAAAGCTGAGGCCAGGAAGAAAACAGGTGTGGGGCTGGGGAGCAGCTGGAGGAGCTGCTGTGTCAAAGAGTCATTTTAGGGGTGGGGACAGGTGTCCAGTCGCTTTGCAAAGTTGTCCCGGAGCACAGAGGTTGAGGGGTAGCTGGAGTTTGGGGGACCTGATTTTGGGAAGGGGTGGCTAGGAGTTCCTGAGGACTGTCAGCGCCGGTGTAGTCGTTTGGCTGAGGTCCCCTCTGTCGCGCGATGCAAGAGGGCGAGTTTGAGGAGCCGCGGAGCGCTGGGGGGTGGAGGGGAGACCGAGCACCCGGAATAAGGGATCTTTAAATGTAGGCGGGGCTTGCGGGGTCGCTGGGGGCGGGGCCAATAGGGCTTAGCCAATTGGCTGCACCGCCCGCGTCGCGCCGCCCCCTCCTCTCCCGGCCCCGGCGGGCGCTCACCGCCCCCCGGCCCCGCCGGTGCACCGGGCGGCGGGGGATGCTCCCGCTGTCGCCGCCGCCGCCACCGCCTCCCCCCGCCCCGCCGCCGTCGGGCCCACCGTCCCGCCGCCGCTGCCCGGCCCCGCCGAGACCCCGGCCCCGGCCCCGGCCCCGTCCTGTGGGTCCTTGTCCGCGCGGGACCCTGTCTCCTCCAGCCTCGTCCGCCCGCCTGAGCCGAGCCCCGCAGGTATGGGGTAGGGTGGGCAGGGCTGCCGGGGAGGGAGGCACGTCCGGGAGGGCGACGCGGTTTGGGGCTGGGGACACGGGGAAGGGCATGTGTGTCTGTGCACTGCCAGGTTGAGCGACGAGTCTCGGACCCCCATCCCGGATGGGGCGGGTGCTGGGTTCTCTTTGGGGGGAGAGTCTCCGAACTCCATAGGTACGGTGGGGGGTGTTCTCAGGCTGGAGGCAGTGATCCGAGACTGACTTGGGAACGGGAGCAAGGAGACCCTCGATGCTGGCCCTGGATCCGGCAGGCAGGGGTCAGCAAGCCCAGCTCACCTTGGACAGAGGTTGGGGCACCCCGCACAGGGCACTGCCCGCTCTCCTGGAGGGTGGCCCATAGATGTGAGCGCTGATGGAGATGGAGCAGTGTGGAGGGCGCTGGGGGAGGCAGCCTGGGGAGGGCAGGGCAGGCTAATTACACCCTGCTGGCTGCTGGCAGGTCCCTGATGGTGGTGATGGGGGGAATGCCTGAGGGACCGGGCAGCCAGCCAGCACCTCACTGCACCGGTGCTGGGCAGTCCATGGGGAGGGAGAGCGAGTGAATCCTGTCCACCCTACAGAGTTAGGGCCCCAGGGTGCTGGGATGGGAGGAGGGGTCCCGGGGTCCGTCCCCACCCTCCACAGGGACACACAACCCACAACTTGTCCACACATCCCAGAAGGTTCCACCATGTGCTGCTCTGGCCGTGGCTTCTGGAGACAGTGTGGTGGGCATTTTGCCTCACGGGGGCTCTGCCTTGGGCACCTCCGGGTCCATCTGTGAAGGACCGAGCTTGGTGCTGAGCAGCACTGTGGCAGGGGAATTCATGGCCACATGCTAAGAGTTTCCACATGAGACCTGGCCTCCCACCCTGATGGGTGGACACCAAGATGTGGCTTCACCGAAGAGGCAGCTGAGGAGGTGACTTCACCCCGGCTGGGATGCTGGGGGGTCCCTCGGCAGCTACTGCAACCAGCCTGTCATTTGTAAAAAGGCTCACTGGAGTGTCTTTGGGGTCTGTTGGGTTTCTTTGTCTTCCTTTTCCGGTTGCCTGCCCACCTTCTTCAGTCCCACAAAAGCCCTCCTGAGGGCCCCGGTCCCACTGGCTCACAAGGTTCCCACGGTGTCTTCTGGGATGGCGTGGAAGGGAGCTCTGCTCACCCTCCGACCCTGGCCTTCAGCGAATGGAGGGCTCAAGCCCCAGATGCATTTGACAGTTTGGGCCATTCCAGGACCCTGCAAAACCGAATGCAACCCATAGGGTGTTACTCACCATTTAGGGGCGCTCCTTGGAGAACTTGAGAGACTTCACTAAAAAAAACAACACAGCCTTTAATGGATACCCCAACCTTGCCCAGGGTCTCAGAGGGGCTCGTGGGTCTTTGGGAATCCCTGAGGGTCCTAGGGACCCCAGCTTTAGGTCCAGGTTGCAGTGGGGGTGCGGGAGGTCTACCTGGGAAGGGGAGGGGCCTCTTGTCCCCAGGTCCCTCTGGTCCCACGCAGCCTTTAGAAAAGGACTGCTCTCCTCCTGTGGGTGCTCAGGCAAACCACTTTGTCGTTCTGTTTTCTCGGAGGTCACGGTAGGGCACGGGCACCCATCAAACCTGTGCCCTGAGCTTTGGGGGCCCTCAAGGATAGGGCCGGGCTGGCTCCCTCTCCAGATGGTAGCTCATCAAGAGGGAGTCAGGCAGATCTAGCCACCCACCACCCTCCCTCCCCGCAGTTGGCATTTAGTTCCTGCCCTTCCTGGCTGTGTGACCTTGGGCAGGGTACTGAAACTCTCTGAGCCTTGTCTCCTGTCTATAAAATGGGGTCAGGGATACCACCTGCCTTGCCGAGTGGCGATGGCGATTAAATGTGATCATTCTGATAAAGGGCTCAGCCCTCAGTAGGCACCAGGGGCATGTCAACATGATGGGATGCCTCCACCCTCTACTCGCATGGAGCCCACTCGCCCACTCTCACGCTGCCCAGGGCACCTTAGGACTCAGCTGTCAGGCCACGGGCAGCATGGCCGACTAACAGCTGAATTTGGCCTGTGTATTGGGTGGCTGAGTCACATCCCCAAATTGCATCTTCATTGGTGCATTTCCGAAGGTCGTCTGCGGGCCCCCGCCCCCTCCTGGTCCTGTCTGCCAGGCCACCCAACTCTCCTGCCTGTGCCCCCAGAACCCCCAGCAAGGATTTGCGCTTTCAGGAAGAATGGTGAGAGGGATGCCTGGGGTTTCCTATTCTCCCAGGCAAGGGCAGGGTCTGGGGCTGCTGTGCTGACAAGCTCCCAGACCCGCCTAGCAGCCAAAAGCCCGTAGGGTGGCAGGCAGGAGGAGCGTAGCACCCCAGTGTTTGTGAGACACACACAGAGAGATCAGGGCCAAGGTCAGCCTATGAACTATGAAATGCAAAGCTTGCAGAAGGCCAGGCTTATAAACTGTGATATATCGGGCCCACGTGAGAGGCCAGGCCTTATAAATTGCGGAGTGTCCGGCCAAAGGTGGCCACAGCCCGGTTGATGTGATGGGTGGTAGTGGTGAGGGAGGAACATGTTCTAAGACCCATGAGGTCACTCGCCGTGGAAGGAATGTTTCTTGCACTTCTGTGTGCTGGTACCAGCATCTGGGGACACCCAGTGAGCAGGACATACCCAGTCTGGGGGCACCGGACAAGGACACAGTGGCCCTGTGATGCTTGGGCTCTGGTGAAGGTCGCCTCTGCCCTGCCCAGCAGCATGGCTTATCTTGGCGAGTCCTGACATGACAGTTTCTGCACCTGTCACCCCCGGAGCATGGTTTCAGGGCCCGGGAGATGTCCTGTCTGTGCCCACAGTCCCTCTCCCAGTCCCCCAGTGCATGCTGGCTTAGCCTTTTCAAAGGGGACCACACTTGGCACACGGCTGCCAGGCTTGTTGGGAGAATTTCAACCAGGCAGCGTGGTCCAGAATCTGCCCTTAAGGAGATAGTCCCATCACAGCATAGTGCCTCAGTTTCCCCATCTATAAAACTGGCCAAATCCCGGGACCCCCTTCTTGGGGATATTTCGAAGATTTAAGAGAAAATTTGTGTGAAATACAGAGACTAGTATGTAATAGATCGGGGGTGGGGAATGTCCGGGGTAGGGAACAGCCTTATACACTGTGAAGTGCTGGGCCTGCAGGAGACCAGCCCATATAAACTGTGCAGATGGTTAAGGAACATCGGCCGGGTGACAGCAGGGGGCGTGCAAGGTTTAGAGAGTCGGCTGGGGTGGGTCTGCCAAGTCAGAACCCAGCAGACAGGATTGTCGAGGTCCCTGCTGTTGCACATGGCACCCACAATACTGCCCTATGCTGCGGCAGTATCTGACGATGTTGTGCAAGCAACTGCTCCTCAGCCTGGCGGGGAAACTGAGGCTGGCCCAGGGTCACAGGGCCAGGCTGAGCATGTCCCGCAGGCCCTATAGATTCAATTCTGGGATCTTCGAGTTAAGTCCCAGATCGCCATGTTGGTCCTGGAATCTGTTTGGAGACCACTGACCTCCCTCCACCCAGGCAGGAGGGAGCTGGGGGTCTCTATCTGGCCCCAGCCTCAGTCCCTAATGTTACCCTACCATATCCTGTATCTGCCTACATGTGTTAAGGCTTTGGAACAGCTTGAGGGGAGGAACTGGCGGCTCAGCAAAGTGAGGTTAAATTGTCCAAGAGCCTGAAGGTCAGTGGGAGACTAGCCCCGGTTGGAATCGCCTCCCGACTGTGCCCCTGCATGACCGCTGCTCCTCCCAGGAAAACTGCCAGTTCAACCCCAGGGCATACAGAAGTGTTTCCTGGGAATTGGCTGTGTGCTAGGCATTGTCAAGGTACTTGGAGACCCAGAAAGTCAGTGGGCAAAGGTCAGATAGAGGGTTTTCCAGGTGGAGGGCACAGCACATTTTAAGGCCTGAGGCAGGGCCAAGCTGGTTGGGATAGGTGAGAGGGAGGCCAGTGTTTCTGGAAGAGGGTGATTCTGGGGAGACTGAGAAGGGTGAATGGTGTGGAACTCGGACCCCAGAGGGCCTCCTGGCCACGGTGGGGAGTTTGGTTTTTACGCAATGACACTGGGGAGCCACGGGCGGGTTTGAGGGTTCTAGCAGGGGAGGGAAATAGGTTGACTTGGATGTTTCTAGAAAGGCAAACCCATGTGTCAGCTGCTCTGAGTTCATGGCCTCCCGGGTCTCAGAGTGGAGTGGCAGCAGTGGTCCCGGCCCTCTGATCAGCTGGCATGACCATGTCCCTCACGCCCCTGCAGGTCAGCGTGGGAGCCCAGCCGCTGAGCCATGCCGGGCCCCAGGCAGCCTGCCGTGAGTCCAGCCCCGGCACCCACATAGTCATGAACAACCACAGCCACAATGGCTGTGGGGGGCGGCCGCTGGGAGGCGGACTGGGGGCCCTGACCCGAGACCCTCCGGACGCCGAGGCCAGCTGCCCCCTGCAGCCCCCACATAGTTCAGGCCTCCAAGTCGTGGTGGCCAAGAACGAGCTGGGCGGGCTCTCACCCGGCAGCCCCCGAGGGCATCCCCAGGACCAGGAGGAGGAGGAAGACGATGAGGAGGATGAGGTGGTTGGGCAGAGGGGCTCCAAGAGGCCCCCCAGCGTGGGCCACCGCCTGGGCCACCGGCGGGTGCTCTTCGAGAAGCGGAAGCGCCTTAGTGACTACGCCCTCATCTTTGGCATGTTTGGCATCGTTGTCATGGTGACAGAGACGGAGCTGTCCTGGGGGGTCTACACGAAGGTAGGCATGGCCCTTGCCCCTGGCACCTCAGGGAAACCCTACCCAGCACCCCACAGAGGCCCTGCCGGGCACACCTGGCTCCCTGTCATCCCTGGGGAATGGAATCAGGGCACATCGGCCCCAGGAGAGGGGGGGGGGTACAGGGGATCCTGGAGATGGGAGATGGGGGGCTCCTGGGGATCCTGCTGTGCCCACTTCCTGGGGTGGTAGGGAGACCGCAGATGGGGGCGGAGACTCCAGTCCATTCCCCTGCTTGCACCAAGGGCCATACCCTGGCTCAAGGTGGGGTAGGGTTGTCCCCCAGGATATGCCTGGGCTGGGGGAGCTCCAGACAAGGCCTGGGTGGAGAGCAGGGAAAGAGCGTCCCCCTGCCCCCCAGCAGTTGGGGCCAGGTTATGAGCCTAGCTGTGGGCCCCTGAGTGCTGCCTGCGAGTGTGTGAGGACAGAGAGAGATCAGGCTGTCTGCCTGTAAACTGTGAAATGCTGTGCCTGTGCGAGAACAGGCCTGATAAACTCTGAAGTGCTATGTCCGTATGAGGCTAGGCCTTATAACCCGTGACGTACTGAGCCTACAGGAGGCCAGGCCTTACACATTCGGAAGTCCTATACCCACATGAAGCCAGGCCTTACAAACTGTAAAGCACTGACCCATCTTACTTTAAGCCCAGGCCTAAGAGTAAGGGCAGGAGTGTCACCTTCCGAGTGAAGTGCCCAGGTATGAGGGTCAGAGGGCTGCCCCGCCCCCTCAGCATGGTCCTGCTATCTGCTCTCTCTCTGCCCAGGAGTCCCTGTACTCATTTGCACTCAAATGCCTCATCAGCCTCTCCACAGTCATCCTGCTGGGTCTGGTTATCCTCTACCATGCCCGGGAAATCCAGGTCAGTGCCCAGCTGGGCTGGGGTACCCCTCTCCCTCCACACCAGCCACCTGGAAGCCCCGCCCCCTAAACATAAGAGGACGGGTAGCTTCCTCATAGAAAAGGATCTCTGTGAAGACACACCCTTTCGGCCACTAAAGTTTCCTGAACGTGTGTCTGCGTTTTAATTTGTATTGATTATTTGAGAAAGGGTCCGTCAGAGCGCAGGGTGGGGGGGTGGGGGGTGAGCTAGGGCCTGGCACACACGGCCCATGTGGAGCCCTGGGGTCTTCCGAGGGCTGACAGTGGTGGAAACCAGTGTTATTAGCACCAGACTCCTTTTGTGTTCAATAGGACCCCACATTTAGAAGACTTATCCCAGGCCAGGGGGTTTGTTCTTCTGTTGGGGGATTAATCAAAACCAGGCCAGGCTTGAGTCTAGCTCAGGGCATGCCAGGCAGGCGTGCCCACAGAGGTGCCAGGTCCCAGGGACACCAAAGGTTGTCAGATCTGGCTCCTCACCTCTGGCCTCTGACCCCTGACAGTCTGGCAGGAAGTGGGCGGAGGAAAATTCTACCTGGGTCGCACCCATGTGTAGATGTCTGTGAAGACACCAGGTCGGGCACACGGGAAGGGCCCTGGATGTGGCTGAGGGCAGCAGAGAAGGGGCAGTGAGAACCGAGCTGAAAGGAAGCAGTTCTGAGGGTACAGCCATTGGGAACAACAGTCTGGCAGCTCCTCAAACAGTTACTCACAGAGTTAGTTACCAAATGATCCAGCAAATCCACTCCTAGGTATAGATCCAAGAGAAACAAAAACATCCATGCAAAAACTTGCACACAGATGTGCATAACAGCCCTCTTCACAATAGCCAGAAAGTGGAAAGAAGTCAGATTTCTGTTAACAGGCTTATGGATAAGCCAAATGTGGTCTATTCATACAGTGGAGTTGCTATTCATTGTATTATTATTTTGTTGTTGTTAATCCTCACCTAAGGATATTTTCCCATTGATTTTTTAGAGAGAGTGCAGGGGAGGGGAGAGACAGAGGGAACCATCAGAGTGACAGAGACACATTGATTGGTTGCCTCCCTCATGAGCCCTGACCAGGGCCAGGAATCAAGCCTGCAACTGAGGTACATGCCCTTGACTGGAATCGAACCTGAACCCTTTAGTCCACAGGCCGACGCTCTATCCACTGAGCCAAACCGTCCAGGGCTCATTGTATTATTCATATATTTATATATTATTCATTTATTTACTATTCAACCTAAAAAGAAAGAAGGACGTTTGCACAGCTGAGTGGCTTCAACAAACAGAAGTTTATTTTCTCACAGTTCTGGAGGCCGCAAGTCCAAGATCAGGTGCTGGCAGGACTGGGTCCTGGTGAGACCTCTCTCCTTGACTTGCAGGCAGCCACTTTCTCACTGTGTCCTCACATGGCTTTCCCCTGTGCACATGTATTCCTGGTGTCTCTTCCTCTTCTTCTTCTTTTATGTTTTAATTCTTACCTGAAGATATGATTTTTTATTGATTTTTAGAGAGAGAGGAAGGGAGAGAGCGAGAGAAAAACAGCCATCTAAGTGAGAGAGAAACATCGATTGGTTGCCTCTCGCACACATCCTGACCGAGGCTTGAACCCGCAACCATCTGGTGTACGGGACGACACTCCAAACAGCTGAGCCACCCGGCCAGGGCTCTTCCTCTTCTTAAAAGGACACAGTCCTATAGTATTATGACCTCATGACCTCATTTAACCTTAATCACCTCTTTAAAGGCCCTGTCTCCAAATACAGTCCCGTTGAGAGTTAAGGCTTCAGCATATGAATTTTGAGGGGACACGATTCAGCCCATAGCAATCCACCCTCTGGTCCATCCCCCAAATTCATGTCCTTCTCCCATGCAAAATGCATTTCATTCCATCCCAATAGCCCCCAAAGCCTTAAGCCATTGCAGCATCAAGTCCAAAGTCTCATTTAAATGTCATCTAAGTGAGATCCGGGTGAGGTTAAGGTGAGCTGCTTCTCCAGCAGTGACTCAGACACGAGCTGGCACAGGCATCGGACAGACATTCCTCTTCCAAAAGGGAGGATCCAAAAGAAGCAAAGGGCATGGGTTCTGATCAAGCCTCAGAGCTCGCCAGGCAGATTCCAGGAGAGCTGAGGGCTCCGCCTTCCAGACCCACTGGGGTGGCAGCGTGGCCCCTGGGCCCTGGGGAGGCCTTTGTGTCTGGCTTCTGCCCCTCAGCCTGATGTTTTCGAGGGCCACCCGCACCGTGGGGTGTGCCAGCGTCCATTCCTCCTTCTGGCTGAGCAGCACTCCTTCCTGTGAATGGACACACTGTGTTCATCCTCTGGTCCTTGGATGGACACTGGGCTGTTTCCGCTTCGGCGGTGTCAGCAGTGCGGCTGTGGCTGCCCACGTACAAGCATTTGTTCCGTCTGCTTTCATTTCTCTTGCGGATCCCGCCTAGGACTGGGGCTGCTGGGTCATGGTCATTCCGTGTTTAACTTTTTGTGGGCCACCGGCCCCATGTTTAGTGCGAAGAGTGGCCAACCCCGGGATGTAAGGAGTTTTGCCGAGGAGGTGTGTCCTGCTAAAAGTCGAGTGGGAGGGATTTCATCGCGGGTCTCGCTGGGGGGCCTGGGTGTGTGTCTGAGACCCGCCGCTGCCTGTCCGCCCTCCGCAGCTGTTCATGGTGGACAACGGGGCGGACGACTGGCGCATCGCCATGACGTGCGAGCGCGTCCTCCTCATCTCCCTGGAGCTGGCCGTGTGTGCCATCCACCCGGTGCCCGGCCACTACCGCTTCACCTGGACGGCGCGGCTGGCCTTCACGTACGCGCCCGCGGCGGCCGAGGCGGACGTGGACGTGCTGCTGTCGGTGCCCATGTTCCTGCGCCTCTACCTGCTGGGCCGCGTCATGCTGCTGCACAGCAAGATCTTCACGGACGCCTCGTCCCGCAGCATCGGGGCGCTCAACAAGATCACCTTCAACACGCGCTTCGTCATGAAGACGCTCATGACCATCTGCCCCGGCACCGTGCTGCTCGTCTTCAGCATCTCCTCCTGGATCATCGCTGCCTGGACCGTGCGCGTCTGCGAGAGGTGTGTCCTGACCCCCAGCCCCTAACCCGGTGAGCCCCAGGCCCACCCATGACTTCAGTGGCTCAGAGCTCCCTCAGCCGTCGCTTCTGTCCCCCTGATCCCAGTGAGCCCCAGGCCCACCCATGATCTCGGGTGCCCAGGGCTTCCCTAGCAATCACTCCTGACTCTGACCTGGACGCTGATGACCCCAGGCCCTCCATGACTTCCGTGACCCAAGGCTCCTCCCGCCAGCTCTTTCATCCCCTTGATCTCCCCTCCCCGCCTCTTCCAGTTCCTGGCCTCAGTGACTGTCCATAACCCTGGGACTCCAGCCTTGTGTCCCCAACCACCCCTGACGCACACCCCTCTGCGGCCCCAGCGCCCTTCCTCCCACTTTCCTCCAGGGGGACTCATGCTCCTCTTTCTCCCAGCCCCTCTACTCTGCGGGCAGCTGGCCTCTGACCTCTGGCCCAGGCAGTGGAGGCAGCAGGCACAGGGATGCCCGCCATCTGCCTGTCTCCACCCCAGTGTAACTTGCTCTCCTTCTCCCCTCTGCCTGCCCCGCTGGACTGTAGGGGAAACATGTGAGTCCCAGCTTTGGCCAAGCTGTGTGCGCAGAGCTGCTGCCACCATGCTGCCCGTGAGGAATTTAAGATTAGCTGCCGAGAGGGGAGGGCATGGGGAGGGGAGGCAGGGTGGCCAGGCTGGCAGGAGCCCGCGGGGGTGGGGAGAGTCCATCCCTGGAGGGCGGGGGGTGGGGGCTCGAGGCAGAGGGGCAGGTAGGATTGAGTCAGGCTCAGGACAGTGGACAGTGGGAGGCAGGCCATTCTCAGCTTCTGTCCACTTGGGGTCCTTGGGGGCTTTGTCCAAGGTGAGGGGAGGAAGAAGGGCTGAGCTCTAGCATCTTGTTTGGGCAGCTGACCCAGGGATCTGAGTCTGGGGTGAAGGAAAACTGGCCCAGCCTTTAGGACCCCTACTTGGGTTTTGTTCTCAACCCAAGTTACAGATGGGGAAACTGAGGCTCTCAGGGGCAAAGGGACATTTCTAAGAGCCTGTTTCTGGTTGTCTCCCAACCCCCAGGATTCAGGGAGGGAGGGGCTCTGCTGGGCCTCTCAGGGCGGAGGGACACCTTGTCCAGGAGGGGTCTCCTGCCTCGTGCCTGGTTGCGGAAGGCTCTGGAGGGGCCTGTTAGGTGGTGCTATGATTGGGCTTCCTGGGGGAGGGGTCCCTGGGCTGGACTTGCCCCCCAGGACCTCAGTCCTCAGTCTTCAAGCCCCCCTCCTTGTCATAAAGGCTTACCATTTGGGGGTCACACGGGGCCTCCTTGGACCCCTGATAGCCCCCAATGTCAGTTCCCACAGCCTGTTCCCCACCCTTCAGGGCAGGCTCAGGATCAAGGTCTGGGGAATGAGAGAGGGGCGTCCCTCCTCAGGCATCCCTGAGGTCCAGGCTGGATCATTTCAGGGGTGCCCAGGTGGGGGTGGGGAAGGGGCAGGGTGGGGGGCAGCCAATCCTAAACTCTGAGCCCAGATTGCCGCTTGAAACCCCCTCGCCTGCCTCCCTCTGCCCCGCAGCTCTGCCCCGCCCCCCCTCCCCTCCCGCATGCCCCCTCCCTGGTCCTGGGGCTTCTGCAGCACCCACCATGGCTGGAGAGCCCCCCTCCTGCCTCCTGAGTTGGGGGTGCTGGTGCCCCCAGAGTTGGAGGTTGAGGCAGCTTGGGGTTCAGGTACCTCAGTGAAAGAGGGGGGTCAGTTTCTGTCCCCTGCACCCGGCAAGCAGCATGGGAGCCCCCCAGTGGGGCGGAGACTCCCAAACACCAGACCTGCTGTGATGGCCTCCATCCCTCCCGCTCCCACTGGGGTTTCCCTTCCATCTCCTCCCCACCTTGAACCCCGGGCCCAGCCCCTGCCCACCGCAGTGAGGGGCCCACCTCCTCTGTGCCACCATGGTTGGTCTCTTACCTTGAACCCTTTCCGTGGAGGTCTTTGCCCGCTGGCGGGGGTTTCAGGTGGCCTGAGGCCTGCTGAGGAGGGGGTTAGTTGGAAAGGGCTCCCCAAGCTGAAGGGGCCTTGCAGGCTGGGGGCTGGCCTAGAGCAGAACCTTGAGCTGCCCCCTGACCCAGAGAACCAGCCCCTCGGCCCCCAGCCTGGGCTGACACAGGTGGAACCTGTCCATAGTCTGTGTGGCCAGGGTCCCAGGCCAGGCTGTGATGGGGACAAAGCAGTGTGCTTTGCAAGGCCTTGGGGCCTGTGCCCCGCTTCCCTCCCCCCCCCACACATATCAAAAGTTTAGCCCCAGGCCTCTCCCCAGGGCTAAGTATGTTGTCCCCTCTCTCCTTACCCCCAGATCAACCCAGGACTGGGGTTGGGGTGACTGGTGCTGCCCTCCACATATCCCTCTTCACCCAAGTCCTGGAGCATGATTCTTCAACCCCCGTCTCCCCGACAGACCCCTCCCTCAGGGCCTGGCTGGCTAGGGAACTTCTTCCTGGTGTCTGATGTGAATCCTCACCTCCACTCCCTGCCGCTTCTGGTGCCCATGGCCACCCGTGTCCGCGCCTGTCTGTATGTCTGTCTATGGGAAAGGTATCCGGTGGACATGCGTGGACACATGTGGACGTACCCTCGCCTGGACCCTCTGCTCCGTGACCAGGGCTGGAGCAGCAGCTTTGGGGTTGGCGAAAGGGAGCCCGGGAGGAGGATTTGGGTGCCCTCTGTCCCGGAAGCACCCCCCCCAACCACGCCTTTATCATGGGAGCCCTCGGAGTGACTGGCTCCCTGATTCAAGGCGCTGCCCAGCGGGTGTGATGACGGAGGAGGGACCAGTGCGGGCTGACCAGCCCTCCCTACTCTCCCCAGGTACCACGATAAACAGGAAGTGACCAGCAACTTCCTGGGGGCCATGTGGCTCATCTCCATCACCTTCCTCTCCATTGGCTACGGAGACATGGTGCCACACACGTACTGCGGGAAAGGCGTGTGCCTGCTCACCGGCATCATGGTAAGGCCGGGCCCTTGGACATCCCTCCCCCCTCCCCCGACAGGGAGGTCACCGTCACAAGCTGTACCGCACAGACAGGCGTTTGTTCTTGCAGAAACATGACGCCATCCCCACCACCATTTCCTGTCCTCCTGCAGGAGGAAGGGCCGCCACAGAGGCTCCGCACAGCCCCCTTCTCCGAACACTCTGTCCCCGCTGCCACCAGCTCTTGAAACCTGAAGCCCAGTTGCTCTGTTCCCCTTCACTTCTCACTCCCTCCTGTCTGGATGCCGCCGCTGGGGGTCGGCGTCCTCCTGCCTCCCCACCAGGCCGCCCTCCTGGCCGAGCTGAGCGGCCCCTCCTGTGAAACGGCAGCGTGCACTTTGCTTATGTTATTTTGTGACAGTGGAAGTGGGGGGAGTAAAGCTCAGCCAATCCCTCCCCCTCTCCCAGCAAATGAACTTTCCAAACAAACAAACAAAACACTCAGATAAATGAGTTTAAATCCAGAAAACCCTCAGTGAAATGGAAAAGCCGTGTTCTCTTCTCTGGGATGCGGCTCCTTCCAGAAAACCAGTTTCATGTCCAGCCTATAGCTGACTCCCAGCCCTCGCCCCCAGTGCACGCGCGCGCGCGCACACACACACACACACACATGCACACACACACATACACACACGCGCGCGCGCACACGCGCACACACACACATATACACACACACATATACACATACACATATACACACACACGCACGCACACACACACACGCGGTCATGCTTGGGTCCCTTTTAGCTACTCTGTTAGCTCTCTCCTGTTCCATCTGTGCCCAGCGCGCCCCCTCCCGGTCACTGCTCACACACTCATCCCGGCCACTGTCTCACCAACCACGTGCTTCCCTGTTCTTGAACTTCAAGGTCTCCCAGCGGGGCTGCCTCTGAGCCCAGCTCTTTTGCTCAGTGTGGCCGCTGTGCTGTTGTGCAGAGCGGTCATCTGTTCTCTTTCCTTGCCGTGTAGTCCGCCACGTGCAGGTCCCCAGCCTGTTGCTTTGCCCCTAATCATAGGGCTTTTCCTGAGAACAGGCTCATGGGTCCTCCCAACGCCCTTGCCCTGATCAGGAACCCTCATCAGGGTTTCCTTGGCGGTACCTTGGTGCCCACCTCACCAAGCTGGGCATGGTGGCCAACCAGGAGAGTTTGACTGTGTCCCTGGCCCTTGTCCACTCCTCCCCATAAGTGTTTCCTCCCACCCCTGAGAAAAACTGAACTAGTGCCAGCCACATCCCCAGCCCCAGCCCTCAGGGCCCAAGCCCGGGTTTCTCCCTCCTCCACCCTGTACTCAGCAGCCGCAGGAGGAAGCAGCTGGCTGGTGAAGCACCAGGGACAGCCTCCAGCGCAGGCAGAGAACCAACTTCTGGCTCCATCTCCAGCCCCTGCCACCTACTTCCTGGTCACTTCTGAGGCTGATGACACCTCCTGAGTGTCCAAGGCTCCCTGGACCCCACTTCTCAGTGGCAGAACCTCCCGCTCCCCCACTTCCTTCCTCCTGTGTTGCCTTTTGCTGCTCCTCCCTTACCTACCCTTCCCTCCTCCTTGGCGCCTCACTCCTGCCCCCCGTCCCTCCCAGCAGCCCCCAGTGACCTCCTTTTCAGGCTGGGCTGCCACTGAGGGCATCCTGGGGAAAGTGGTGGCACCCACCAGGGAACCCACATGAGGAGGTATCCTTCCCCACTTCCCGCCTGCTGGGACCTGTGCATTGCCTCTTCCCTTCTGCAGATGCCCCACTGTGGGCAGCTGGCTGGCCCTCCCCTGACACGTCCCTTCTCGCTGTCAGCTGACCCTCGTTACCGATCAATAACCTGTTAGCCCAGTCTCTGTCCCCAATACCCAGACCCAAAGCCCTGACAGATTCTAAATCCTCCCACTTCCACGGTCATCGGCCCCAAACTTGCCTGCTGATCTTGCTGTTCCTCATCCCTTTCTTATCTCGGAGCCTCAGTTTCCCCCTCTGCCCAACGGAGATACGAATGGAGTTGTTGGGATAAAATGAGCTGATCCGTGGGACACGCTCCCCTGACATTTGACGGATAAAGCACATGGGGTCGGGCGTCAGTGAACTCTGTGCCAACACTGCAGGCGGGAAGGGCAAAGTCAAAGGTGGGATCAGGACAGGCTTCCTGGAGGAGGGAGCGTGTCCTGCTTTGGCCTGGGAGCCACATAAAGCAGGATGCTGATGTGCTCCCACCCTCCTCACGCAGGGGGCGGGCTGCACAGCGCTCGTGGTGGCGGTGGTGGCCCGGAAGCTGGAGCTCACCAAGGCAGAGAAACACGTGCACAACTTCATGATGGACACACAGCTCACCAAGCGGGTAAGGGTGCCAGCCCCTCACGGCCGCCTCTGCTGACCATCAAGGGCAGACCCTCCCCGCCTTCTGCCCATTGCAGGCTCACCCATGTGCCCACAGGTCACCACCCTGCCCTGTGCTGCCCACACCGCACTGGGCTCTGCCGTGTGTGAGAACGCCCGTGAGCTGTGCACAGACGTGGTGAAGGCCACAGGCGTCCACCTGTGTGCCCAGTCACAGCCCCGCCGCGGGCCAGGCAGTGAGAGGCAGGAACGATGGGACCAAGCAGCCAAGTGCAACTTACCAGCTGACCTTGGGAGGTTGACCTCACCGTGCCTCGGTTTCCCCAGTGTGAAATGGGGAACTGCTCTTTCTCTGGCCCCAGGTGAAAAATGCCGCTGCTAACGTTCTCAGGGAGACGTGGCTCATCTACAAACACACCAGGCTGGTGAAGAAGCCAGACTACGCCCGGGTTCGGAAACACCAGCGTAAGTTCCTCCAAGCCATCCATCAGTAAGTCCAGCACCTTTCCCACTCACGTTTCTGTGTCCGCCTGGGGCGGAGGCAGCGTGACACCCCCACGGGAAGAGGCCGAGGGCCAGGCCAGACAGCCCAGCCCTCCTATGCTAGGTGGTCAGTTGATTGGGGCCAGCAGCTTCTGTTGGATGGGGTAGTGGGGATGGCCAGAGGGAGATATATGATGGGCCCAGCATTCGTCCAGGGAAATCACCTTTGATAAGGCATGCAGTCCATCCAACATAAATGGCAAGAAGCACATTTTATTCCCTGGGATAGCCCAAATGATTGTACCCCTTAGACACTGAAGCAATGTCCCCTTTTGCTTTGGCTGGCAGGAAGCTCAGAATCTGTGGCCTGATCTATAAGCTCGTGTGGAATAATTAGAAATTACTTAATTTCCTCTTTTGTCCCTTTGTCCTGAGAATTACTTATTCAAGTAGTTCTCATCCTTGGCTGCTCGTTCGAGTCACTCAGCTGGCTTTTAAAAATCCTACAGGCCACACCCAACACCATTACACCACAGTCTGGGATTAGCCTGGGCTTAAGCTTAAATTCCTCAGGTGAGTCAGATGTGCCGCCAGAGTTGGCAGCTTTTCCTGTAACGGGCCGGATAGTAAACATTCCCCGCGCCGTGGGCCAGGTCGTCTGTCTCTGCTTGGCTCTGCTGTGGTGACAGGAAGGCAGTGGAGATGAGTGGGTGTGTCTGTGCGCCAGGTTGTTTTCCAAACAGGCATCCGCCAGGTTTGGCTCACAGGACATGAAATCTCACAGGATATGAAATGCCAGTTACTGTCCACTAAAAATATCATATGAGCTGCATGTATAATTTCACATTTCTTAGTAGCCACATTTTTTTTAAAAAGCAAAAGGAAGCAAGTAAAATAAAATTAATATATTTATTTAGTGTATCCAAATTATTATTATTTTAACATATGATTAAGATTTAAAAAATCATTGAGATACTTTATAAAGTTTTTTGTACTAAATCTTCAAAGTCCATTGCATATCTTACACTTACAGCTTGTTTTTATTCGGACTAACCACATTTCAAGGGCCACATATAGGGTGCATGAGACAGCACCCTGTCCAGAATTTACACAGCTCCGAATTCTGTGGGGTTGAGTCACGTGGCACCCGATTTAAAAGAGTAAAAACACGTTCTTAGGCACTTTTCAGAATGAGTCTCTCTGAAGAGAGTTCCCGAGTCTCAGATCACGAGAAAACCCATTCACAAGTGGCTTCTCCTCGGTGCCCGAGAGGGCTCCTGCCCCCAGAACTCACAGGCCAGACTCAGGGGCTGATGACTTAGAGTGAGGTGAACAGAGTGAGGGTCTGAGCTAGTGCAGCAGGAAGGCAACCGACTCAGCCATAACCAAGAGGCCGCCCAGGGGACACCAGTGTGAGTGGTGGGGTGGGGAGGTGGATAGAGCAGGGAGCCCAGGTGCGGCTGGGGCAGCCCAGAGCCGGGGCGTCCAGAGGTAAAGGAGAATGACCACTTACCAGGGAGAGGCCAGGCCATGGGAGAAGAGGCTCACCAGCTGGGCTTTAATGGTTTAATTCTGTTCAATCATGTTTACCTCTTTTTTAGAAACAGCTTTATTGGGGTACAATTGACATAGTCAACTGCACATACTTAAAGTGTACAGTTCGATGAGTGTTAACATGTATTCACACCCATGAAACTATCATCACAGTGAAGATAATGAACAGATCCATCCCCCCAAAAGTTTCCTTATGCTGCTTACCATCCTTGTCTTTTAACTGGAGAGTTTAGTTCCTTTACATGTATTGTGTTTGCTGTTATAACTGGGTTGCTTCCTAATGATAATGATCCCCACTCCCCAGGACTTCGGGAGGTCTAAATGAGACGATTCGCAGAAATGCCTGGCAGGGTCCCCAGCACAGAGCAACCTCTTGGTAGCACATAGCGTCCACCTCGCCCCCAGCCCCTGCTCTCTGCCTCTGCTTCCACCACCATCTGAACACCCGGGAGAGGAGCTGGTATCCATTGTCTTCACTGTGACCAGGTGTTAGTCCTGCCTCCTCACAAGACTTTGAGACCCTGGAGGACAGGGACCTCCCCTTGCTGACTCTCCCATAGTTGTTAGCTGACCACTGGTTCCCAATCCGGTCTCTCCCACCGAACAGTGGGGCCTGGACAGGTGACTACACTACTCCAAGTACCTTATGTGTAAAGCGGAGATGATGGTGATGTGCCTCTTTCCCAGGAGGGTGATACCGATCGAACGCAGTCCGGTGACCGGATGGCTCACCTGGGCCTGACTGCCACACAATGTTTTCTAAATATAGGAACTGGAATTGTTGTTACTTCCACCCTCGATCTGGTCGTTTTGTCATTCCACAAGCATTTCCTGCACCAGCCGGAGTGGGGGACAGTAGATGTGGCCCCGCCCTGGATCTTGCCCTATGGGATGTTCCAGAAAGTTCTTTGGGGAAAGCAGGAGTATGAGAACTGAGGAGAGCCAGGTCTGGGGAGAAGGCACCTGCTCTGTGAATGATCTGTGACCATCTCTTCTCGGGCAGGACTGTTGCCCTCACCTTTAGACCCTCTGCACCCCCACCCCCCACCAAAACCAGTAGCCCCGTAAGAACAGATGATGAAGTCAAGCAAGTGTGCACTAGGGCCTGAGGGTGGATAAGACCTGAGCCGGAAGCTGAGGGGCAGGCTGCACACCAGGGAGTGCCCACAGCTTGAGGAAGGCAAGGCGGTGGGCACGAGCACGCGCCAGGGAAACGGGGTCTGCTCTGCACACGTGAGGCAGCCGGGCACGTCCTTGAGCTGGAGAGGCCCCCGAAGGGAGCGCTGTGTGCAAAGCCAGAGGAAAGGAAGAGGTGGTCTCGGACGAGACAGAGTGGGGAGTGTGCGTGTCTCCGTGGCTGTAATAAGTGGGTGGTTTGAAGCGGCAGAATTTATGATCACTGTCCCGAAGGCCAGAAGACCAAAATCCAGGTGTCAGCAGGGCCCTGTTCCCTCTGAAGGTGCCAGGGAGGATCTGTTCCAGGGCTCTCTCCTGGCTTCTGGCAGCGTCCGGCGCTCTGAGCTGACAGAGGCATCGCTCCAGTGGTCATTGTCATGAGCTGTTCTTCCTGCGTCTTCATACTGTCCTCCATCTGTGCGTGTCTGTGTACAGACTCCGCCTTTTGTATAAAGACACCAATCATTGGGTTAGGGTTCCCCCCAGTGACTTATCTTCACCTGGTGAAACCAGGTCACATACTGAGGTCCTAGGGGTTAGGATTTCAATATATCTTTTGTGGGGAACACCATTCAACCCATATGACAGAAAGGTTATAGAGAAGCCAAGAATGACTCCCCAGGGAAGGCACGTCAGGGCTCCTCGGCAGCCTTCTGGGGCCGTCTGTATTCACCTCCGTTTCTCCAGGCTGATGGCTGGGTCTGGGGGGCCCGGCAGTATTCAGCATGGTGGGCCCTGAGGGGCCTCCCCATGAGTCCATTGCATGTGGGCACACGGGCTGAGTTTGAACCAGTGAAGAAGAGAGTCTTACCTGGAACCATTTTCCTGGCCAGTTTAACTACAGAGGCATGGAGAGGAAGGGCGAGGACACACAGGCCCATGCCCCACGCCTCGGGCAGCTATTGGAGTCCAGGGGCATAGAGGCTGACCAGATCCTGCCAGGGTGTTACCAGCCATTGGCCTTGCCACTATGAGCCTCAGTTTCCCCCTTAGGAAACATCATGGGTATAGTTTCCTGGACTAAAAGCCACCTCTAGGGCCAGGTGCCTGGCACCGGTTGGCAGACGGCAGAGTTGCAGAGCGAGGGCAGCTGCATTTGTCCTGGCCGGGGCTGGGTGGATACTGCTCGGGGGAGGGGGCAGAGGACAGGTGCATCTCTGGGGGGCTGGCACTGCCCTCTCAGAAGCTGAGCCCCTCTGCAGAGCAAGGGCAACAGCCCCTCGGGTCCAGGGGTCAGCATGTGGGAGGATGGCAGCATTGGGCATGAGCTGCCCAGCAAGTGCTGAGATTAAAATTGCCCTGTGATTTCTCTCTGCTCCACCGGGTCCTGCCAGAGCTCAGAAGTAAGTCTCTCCCTGAGGGTCAGGGGTGCATGGTGGTCATGGGTCAGGGTGCATCCCGGGGCAGCTCCTGGAGGCGGCCAGGGCTTGTGTCCACCCTGCAGACCAGTGCAGGCTTTACCGAGACATCCTGCCTCGGGCCCTGTGGACATAGCCAGACAGTAGTCACTTGAGTGGTGGCTGAGCTGCCTCCCAGGCCCTGCTGCCCCCTACATGTGGGGAGGGAGTGGGCTGCAGGGGGCCAGGCCCCAACCCCCACCTCATCTCCCCACTGCATGTCCCACAGGGCAACCCTGGGTGGGGCAAGTGCATGAAGGACTCCCCCATCCCCCCGACAAATGCATCCTCCACACAACCCCACTTACCCACCTGTCCCCAGGCTCCGGAGTGTGAAGATTGAGCAGGGAAAGCTGAACGACCAGGCCAACACACTCGCAGAGCTGGCCAAGGTGAGCAAGGTGGGGCCAGGTGGGATGGCTCCCTGGGCCGGTCCGGGCTGGTTGGGTCTCTGGGGAGAAAAGGGGGCATTTCCGTAAAGGACAGGGCACAGCTCCTGCCGAGGGAGGGACAGCACCGGGGTTCTCAGGGCAGGCAGGTGACACCGGCAAGGGATGCAGGGCAGCAAGAGCCACCAGGGAACACCAGCCCTGTCTGCAAGGGTCCATCGTGACCAGAGGCTCTGACTGTGAGAGGAACTCCGGGAATCTACATCTGTAAAAGCTACTTTTCACATTGGCAGTAGTTTCATTTTTTAAAAATATACTTTTATTGATTTCAGAAAGGAAGGGAGAGGGAGAGAGATAGAAACATCAATGATGAGAGAGAATCATGGATCGGCTGCCTCCTGCATGCCCCCTACTGGGATCGAGCCCGCAACCTGGGCATGTGCCCTGACTGGGAATCAGACTGTGACCTCCTGGTTCATAGGTTGATGCTCAACCACTGAGCCAAGCCGGCAGGGCTAGTGTTATTATTTTTTTTAATTAATGTATAAGAAAATAGTATATATGGGCAAAATTGATGATGTGGTACTTTTGCTGCGGATATAAATTCAACTAATAGCACCAACAGGAAGCTCAACGCCTTTTAGGAAATTAAAGTTGATTCCACAAGCTCAGTAAGATCAGTTTGCGTCATAAATGGATCTATTTGTTGGTTCAAACATCAAGTCCTACCCTCCTCCTGCTTTTCTCTTAGAATGTGTTCACACGATTCAGAACTTGCTCCTGACGATGCTGCATACTTCATAAATAGTTCATGTGTGAGCTTAGCCTATTGGTCCCACTCCCTAGTCAATTATCAGTTAGGGGTTACTTTAATGTTATCTTTAGAAGATGTTAAGTCCTATTCTATTTCACTTCTTATGCCCAGCTCATTGTGGACTCGCTCTCTTCCTCATTTCAAGAGATTGCAAAGTAATTTAATATTAACCTACATAAAATGAACTTGGAAGGGAACATTACAGAGGAAAAAAATTCTAGAACCCTGAAGAAATAGCTCAGCCCTGCTGGCGTGGCTCAGCGAGTGGTTGAGCGTGGACCTATGAGCAGGAGGTCACGGTTGCATTCCCATCAGGCACATGACCGATGGCAAGCTTGATCCCCAGCAGGGGATGTGCAGGAGGCAGCAGATCGATGATTCTCATCATTGGTGTTTCTGCCTCTCTCTCCCTCTCCTTCCTCGCTCTGAAATCAATAAAAACATGTTTTAAAAATAAATAAATCAATTGCTAGCAGAAACTAGAACATAACCCTAAGAGAATATAAAAATCATTGGCCAACTAATTTGATGTCATATGAGATTATAGCTATAAATATAAAATGCCTTGGAAAAACTCAGATACTAGGAATTATAATTTGAATTATCCATATTACACTTCTTTAGCACAAATTATTGGAATTTTAATTTTTAAATTATATAAACCTTGTAATCATGGTGGTATACTCTCAAAATACATTGTACAAAAGCTTCTTTGAATTCAGTCTTTAATTAGATTGGATTATATGGGTTTCTAATTTTTTTTAATTAAACAAGGTTAAAATGTTTTCCAATCAAATTTTTCTGCTTTCCTTTCCAAGGTTGCTAATTTAATTGGTATTTCTCTGGCAAAAATAAAATATATAGGGTGGCCCATAAAAATGTGTACACACTTTACAGCTAATAGCTCAACGGTGTTTCTTTCTTTTCAGATTTAACCCATTGGAATTAATTATTCAAAGTGTGTATACATTTTTGGGGACATCCTGTATATCCTAAATTTAAAACAATTTTGTTTAAATCTCAGAGAGGGCCAAAATGAACCACCCCAGTGTTGGATGCCTCCAGATATTACCGTCTGACCCTGGGGACTGTGGTTCCTGAGGCAGGCTGGGGTGAAGGTCAGGGGCCCTAGGAGGGGCTCCGAGGGAGGGGTTTGTCCTCCCCCAGGCGGTCAGCCTGCTGGGAACAGAACAAAGGGTGGAGGGTACGGAGGAGGGCAAAGGTGTGGAGTGGCTGGGAGAGTCTGCAGGTGTGTAATCGGTGCCTCATCCTATTTCTCTCCGGCGGAGCGAGGGGTTGGGGGTGCTTTCCCCCCTCGGCCGGACCTGCCCCTGCAGTCCTCCCCTCCAAAGCCTAGGAGGGGCGGAGGACTCCGGTTCCCGCCTGCGGGTCTGGTCACCGGGAGCTGGGGTGAGAGACGCAGGGCGATGTTGTAGCGCCACCTGGTGGCGAGAGTGGATCCTTCTGAACAGGAGCACTGGCCGGTGCTGGCTGCCCTGTGGGGAGCAGTAAAGGTGGTGGGGACACCTGTTGCCCATCACACAGCGATTATGGCTGTCGTGTTCCTGGGTCTGGGATTGGGTTAGACCCTCTGGATCCTCACCTCCCTCCAGACCCCTGTGCAACCCCTCATCTAATGTCTGTGTTATGTGGCAGTTCAATCCCTCAGGGCAGCTCTGGTCACATCCACCCTCCCCAGTACAGCCCTTGGCCTTTCCCAGGCCTGCTGGCCCCAGCTTGTCATTTAACTTGTCTGTCCCTCACCTATTCTCCCACCATTTCCTGGGATCTAGCAGGAGACCTGCAGGGCTGGGGATGTCCTCACAGTTGTAACTGTCTATGTGTGTGTCTGTCACTCCCTGTCTCACTCAGCCTCTTCTCTCCCACCTCTGTCTCTCACAGACGCAGAATGCCATGTACGACCTCATGTCCGAGCTGCACGCCCAGCACGAGGACCTTGAGGCCCGCCTGGCTGCCCTCGAAAGCCGCCTGGATGCGCTGGGCACCTCCCTGCAGGCCTTGCCTAGCCTCATCACCCAAGCCATACACCCACTTCCTCCACCCCTGCCTCCCCAGCCTGGCGCCCCAGACCAGGCAGCCCAGAGCTCCCCCTGCCGGTGGCCACCCGTGGCCCCTTCAGACTGCGGGTGATGGCCATGCCCACCACCGGACCCCACAATCTTGGCCATTGTGTGGCCGCCACCTCCACACCATCCAGGAAGGCCGGTCTAGTTGTGCCTCTTGGAGTATAAGGAGCCAGAGCTGAATTGGGCTGAGTGGCCAGGGGCCCGTCCCACCCAGACTGTCTGGACAGGGGTGGCTGCTGCCTGCTTCTCCCTGATTGGAGCTTAGGGAGCCCAGGGCTTCCTCTGGTTCCCTGGCCCCTAACTCTCCCCAGGCCCCCGGTGGGCTCAGAACAGCAGGGAGAGGGGTCCTTGCCAGTTCTTAATAAAGCAGGACCCATCCAGTGGCCGCCTGTTGTGTGTAGCTGGGGGACACTCGTAGTCACAATATGGGAGGTGGACACCTGGTCTGGGGTCCCAGAATGGATATGGGAGTTAAGGTGAGCCAATCTCCATCATATCCTAGCCTGGTAGCCTCCTGAGCCCGAGCCTGAGGACAGCTGCACCAATCCCCCCTGGCACTGGTAGAGGGGACTGCAGAGGATGTGGCCCCGCCCCCACAGGAGGCATTGGAGAGTCAGGCATCCTTCCCTCTGACCAGCTGGCTTTGCTGGAGCACCCACTGTGGGCCAGGTGCCAAGGAAGCACAGTCCAATAAGGGAGTTGACACGGGTGAGGAGGGCTATTCGGTCTTCATTGGACATGTATTGAGCACCTGCTGTATTCAGGGAATGTGAGATAAATGATCACACTGACTCTTTACCAGAACCTGACCAGGGTGGGATAGGGAAACCAAGCTGCCTGGAGCTACAAAGTGAGGAGTGGTGAGCCAGGGCTCACACTTGGGGACCCACTGGCCACCATGAAGAACCCAGACTTGGGGGAGGACACTTCGTGGGGAGGGGGGGGCTGGTGTGAGTTGGGGAAGGTGTGGTGCAATTGTGGGGTTAAAGTGGCCCATTTGGGGTGGGTGGGAAGGGAAGGTTCTGGACAGAAGTAGAATCAGAACGATCCCTCCAGGCCTTGGGCTCAGGGTGCTGGGGTCAGGCAGGGGGCAGCAGGCACTAGGCAGATGCTGGGCCCTGAAGGGGGTAGAGAGGGAAACCTTGGCCCCTGCAGAGGCTAATCTGGGCCCAGCAGACAGCCCAGGCCCTGGCAGCCTCTGATAAGGCATTGGCACCTGGCTGGGGGAGATAGGTTGGGTGCAAGAGAGAAGGGTGTGGAGAGGTGCCAGTGGGCTGCTGTCAGACCTGGGTTCGAGTGGTGACTGCCGTCCCTGGGTACCTCTGGCAGTGGCTGCCCCTCTGGGGGCCTCTGTTTCCTTATCTGTGAAATCCAGTGAGGAGAAAAGGGTGCCCACCCTTGGGTGCAGCCAGTCTGATGGAGGAGCCACAGTAGACACCTGGCAGTCACAAACACAGAGATCAGAGCCATAAAGAAGTAAACACGGCCAGAGCATGACTAGGGGACTGGGAGGTGGATCTGGGGAGGGCGTTCCTAGTAACAGAACAGCCCGTGCAAAGGCCAAGAGGCAAGACGTGAGCTTGGTGTGTGGGGGGAACAACCAGTAGGTGACAGGGGCGAGAGGAGGTGACAGGGGGCTGGGGCAGCACCCAGGGCCAAAGGTGCCAGGTGGGGGACCTGTGAGACCACAAGGCACAGCTCGGGGGCTGCCCCACACATCCAGCCACATCCGCCCCCGCCCCGCCCGCCTCTGACTCATCAGCGCCCACCCTGCAAAAACCGGGCCCGCCCCGCGCGGGGGGGGGGAGCAAAGTCAACAACGCGGGCACACGGGCAGCACGTCCCGGCGGGCCCCGGTGCGTCACGGGCGCGGGCGGGGAGAACCAGGAAGTCAGCCCGGGGCCCGTGGCAACTGCACAAGTTGGCAGAAGCGGGAGAAAGCGCGCGGGCGCCCGGGGCGGCAGGGACCAGGCTGAGACCCGGAAGACCCGCGGTGCACCTCGTGGCCGCGCGCCCCGGCCGTGCCCCTCGCCAGGTGCGCTGTCCCCGCTGCGCGCCCAGGCCCTCGCCATGCGCCTCTGGGGCGTCCGCAGGTTCGCGCTGGAGCTGGAGCGGGGCGGCGCTTACCGTGGCGGGGAGCTGCTGTGCGGCCGGGTGCTGCTGGAGGCGGCGGCGCCGCTGCGGGTGCGAGCGCTCGAGGTGGCCGCTCGCGGCGGGGCGACCACGCACTGGCTCCAGGGCCGAAGCGTGGGCATCAACGCGGTTTCCAGCGACTTCACGGCCGTCGAGACATACCTGCGGCGGCGGCAGCTGCTGCTCCGAGGTGAGCCGCTCACCCTCCCACTCCATAGCCAGGATCCCCTCAGCACCCTCTCCCCAGTGTCTCCACTCTCCCACTGGGACATTCACCCACCGACCCCCTCCAAAACCCTCTTTGCTGCCCTCCTTCCTCTTCTCTCCCTCCCCCCGCCCAGTGTCTGGGCACCCACCTTCCAGAGCACAGACGCCCTCGATTTAGAGGCTGTGGTGTGTGGTGGGGGCCTCTGTCTGGGGGAATACCTGGCTGGGGCAAGGAGATCCTTCTCTCTGCACCCCAGGACCCCTGTTAGCCCCAAGCCTGGGATCCCTGATTCCAACGAAGGCCACTGTGTCACTCAGCCAGTGCCCCCTCCCAAAGTTTAGCCCACAGTGTTTGCTGGGGCGAGTTCTTCCCTGGGTTGGAGTTCTGGTGGCTTTGCAGGTGAGGGGAAGGAGACTTGGGGTGAGGTCAGATTAGGCTGGGAGTCTCACCCTGGCAAACCTCAGCCCCCCTCTCTCAGGCCCAATGGCCGGCCAGGAGCAGAACAGGGGCCACAGAAAGGGCTTTGGGGGGCATGGGCCTCTTTGGGTGACCCTTCCATCCCCTCCCTATACCCATCTGTAAAATATGCAGGGCAGGAGGCAGCTCAGACCTGGCCTTGCGGCCTGGTCCAACAGCCCCCAGGTTTGGGGGACTCTGGCCTGACCGGCGGTGGAAACTGAGGCTAGCAGGCGTGGGGTGTGGCCGGAAGGGGCCCCAGAGGAACTTCCTTTCTCCTGCAGCTCAAGCCAAATTGGGGCTGCTCTCACCCTACAGTCCCCTTGGTCACACTCACAGGTGGCTTCTTCAAGACACTGGAGAGGTGAAGCTTTCCTCATCTGCTGTCTGACCCTGCCCATCTCTGGGTGGGTGGGTGAATGTCCCACCTATAAAATGGACTGAGGGAAATGCTTGCTCACTATGAGCCTTCCTGTCCTGCCTGAGTCACCTCATCCTCCACCTCTTCCTGGCTTATGGTCCCCTGTCCTCTCTTGGCTCCACTTGGCCGTGACAGAAGGTTCCAACCCCTTCTTTCAGCCCCAGAGCCTCCTCCTCTAAGCAGACCCCAGACTGATCACTGAGGGGACAGCCTCTGCCCCACCCTTTGGGCCTGCTCTCACCACTATCGCGGGCTGACCCCGTCTGGTTACGGCCGTCTCCCACTGGGGGTGCGGGGGCCTTTGGGGTGCGGAGGCCTTTGGCGGGGGGGGGGGGGGGGGGCGTCCCAGCGTGGCCTGAGCCAGACTCAAAGGCATGGCCGAGGTAGGCATGGCTTCGGGCGGCAGCGCATCTCGCTGCCAGGAGAGGGCGCAGGTCCCCCGTAGATCGCGAGAAGGCAACTCGCGGCTTAAGAACTCCTACGGATGATTCTTCTCTCGGGAAACTGAGGCCCAGAGAAGGGTCATCCCCGCCCCGAGGTAACCTCGCAGCCCTGGACCCAGGGGTGCCTGGAGCTCCCCCTGCACTCGGCTCTGTCTGAGAGGGGACCAGGGCTGGAGGTGCCCAAAGCGGGCACAAGGGCTAGGCCTAAAAGTCTAGAAGGCATTTGCCCGGGGCTGGAATTGGGAAAAGAAATGTCGGCTGGGGCTTAAGTGCTTTGGCGCAACCGAGTGGCGGTGCGTTGGTGACCCGGGAACAAGGCTCTGGGAAGGGTCCAGGAGGGGCAACACTGGTTCGTGCACAGCCCTCTGAGAGGGGGGCTTCTTTTCTTCCGGCACTGCGCACGTGGGAACGCGGGCTCCAAGAGGTTGTCACCTGTTCGGGGTCATCCAGCTGAGCGGGGTTTGAATCAGAAGAGGAGGGTAGCAGGCACGGGGGGGTGGGGGGCGGGGGGGAAGGCCCCACCGACTTCCTCATCCCTCCCCATTGCACAGAGGGGGAAACTGAGGCCCGGGTGACCTAGGCTCTCAGCGCCCCGATCGGCGCCAGGCCATTGCACACCCCTCCAGCTCTGGCTGGACATGTCCCGGTCAGATCTACAAATAGTGGCGAGTTGATGATTAAGCCAAAGGACCGAATGGTCTTTCTGAGTGACCTCAGACCCAGGCCCCGCTTCCTGGCCTCAGTTTCCCCTCTCTACCCCCGGGATCCGCGAGAGGCCGAATCTGGTGTCCAGTGCTTCCGTTTCACCCCGGTGTCCACGAGGGTGGAGGGCTAGCGGACTGGGAGCCTGGGAGTTTGTTATTTTGCTCCACGCCCGGGCGGAGCCACGCCCCTCGCCGCGCCATTGGCGGCTCCATTCCGGGGCGGGGCAGGAGTCTCGCCCCCGCCCCGCCCTGCCATATAAGGGCGGCGCCAGCGAGGAACCCCCGGCTGGCTCAGTAAGTGCTCCCGCGCGGGCCGGGTGGGGTCGCGTCCTGAAGCTGTGGCCTCTGCACCTCGCTCCGCCGCGTCAGGGGTTCGAGGCCAGGGCCCACGTGCCTGCCTAGGGTTTGCATCCCCGGCGCGATGCTGTTCGACAAGGTGAAGGCATTCGTGGTGCAGCTGGACAACGCGAGCGCGGGCGCCGATCCCGTGTTCAGCGGCGGCCAGGCCGTAGCCGGCCGGGTGCTGCTGGAGCTGGCGGGCCCGGCGCGCGTGGGCGCCCTGAGGCTGCGCGCACGGGGCCGCGCTCGCGTGCACTGGAGCGAGTCACGCAGCTCCGGCTCCAGCACCGCGTACACGCAGAGTTACAGCGAGCGTGTGGAGGTCCTGAGCCACCGTGCCACGCTTCTCGGGCCAGGTACAATTAGGGACCCCCGCGTGGCGCAAGTGCTCGCGCCCTGCGAACCCCTCAGCCCCTGAGCCACCCCCTCTTGCTCCTACCTGCAGATACTGGAGAGACAACCACGTTGCCTGCTGGGCGCCACGAGTTCCCATTCAGCTTCCAGCTGCCTCCGTAAGTCATCTGGGGTGCCGGATTGGGGGGGAGTACCCCTCAGGTTTGGGGCTCCACTGCTTCGTATCTGGGGACCTATGAGCCCCAAGACTGTCTCCGCTGGGAAGCCCTCAGGAGTGTCTCTATGTCTCTCAAGCTTAAGTCCTTGGGAATCTGCAACCTGCTAGTCTCTGGATGGCCTCCCCCTGAAGCCCCTTCCTTCCACCCCAGGACACTGGTGACCTCATTCGAGGGCAAGCACGGCAGTGTCCGTTACTGCATCAAGGCCACCCTGCACCGGCCCTGGGTCCCGGCCCGCCGGGCAAAGAAGGTGTTTACTGTGATCGAGCCTGTGGACATCAACACCCCTACCCTGCTGGTGTGTGGCTGGCCGCCCCTGGGGAGGTGGGATGGTAGCCCAGAGGCTGGGCTGCCCAGTGACTCCAACTGGCTCCTCACCCCCTTCACAAACTGTCACGAAGTGCGGGTCACAGCTGGGTCCTGGCTGGGAGGGAAGCAGGCAAGGGAGTGTCTGTTGAGTCAGTGCCGCCGGTGCAAATGCCAGCTGCACCGATCTGCCTTGTGGCTCAGAGCGAGTGTCTCACCCTCTCTGTGAAATAGGGCACAGCCAGGGCACAAAATAATAATGGCTTGCTGAGCACTAATTGCATACTTGCTTGCTCGTTTCAATTTTAGGGTCATGAGCTGGGTCATGTTCCTAGATCCATTTCACAGATATTTCCTAGATTGTGGAAAAGAGACCAGGCAACTGGGCCCGGACTCAGGTCTTCCCTCCACTGGGGGTAGTGTGGAAGCCCCACACGGTGGCCCATTTATGTCTTTTTCCTCCGCCCCGTCAGGCCCCCCAAGCAGGAGCCCGGGAGAAGCTCGCCCGATCCTGGTACAGTAACCGCGGCCTCGTCTCCCTCTCGGCCAAGATCGACCGCAAGGGCTACACACCAGGTAGCAGGCGGCAGCAGCCCGACTGGGAGGAGGGCCAGTGTCTGGGCTGCAGGTGGGGAAACTGAGGCCCTGCCGCTTCCCATAACAGGTGAGGTGATCCCTGTGTTCGCTGAGATTGACAACAGCTCCACGCGCCCGGTGCTGCCGCGAGCAGTTGTGGTCCAGACACAGACCTTCATGGCGCGAGGCGCCCGCAAGCAGAAGCACGCGGTGGTGGCCAGTCTCTCGGGCGAGCCCGTGGGCCCAGGGCGGCGGGTGCTGTGGCAGGGCCGGGCGCTTCGGATCCCCCCGGTGGGGCCCTCCATCCTGCACTGCCGGGTGCTGCATGTGGACTACGCCCTCAAGGTGAGTGTCATAGGAGGTGGTGGTGGTGGGGGTTGCATCTGCTCTGTCCCCAGGTAGGGTCCCCCAAGGCTGGAGCTGGGACCCCTGAGTACAGGCAGGGCCTCCTTCTGCAGACGGCAGGTGCGAGAGGCTGCCTGGGCACCCTCCATTGCGGCTCCTTCCTCCAGGTCTGCGTGGACATTCCGGGCACATCGAAGCTGCTCCTGGAGCTGCCGCTGGTCATCGGCACTGTCCCCCTGCACCCTTTTGGCAGCCGCTCGTCCAGCGTGGGCAGCCATGCCAGCTTCCTGCTAGCCTGGGGGCTGGGGGCCCTGCCAGAGCAGCCTGAGGGTGAGTGCCCATCCTGGTGTCCCCCGGGGAGGGGTAGAGGTGCCAGGCCAACATGCTCTTCCCAACGTGAATGCCCCATCTGAATAGCACACAGTAATGATCACATTGACAACCACGGACGCCCCACGAATCCCCGGTCGAGGACACACAACCCCAGAACTGGCACAAGCAGGCTCCTGGCCACTGTCCTCAATTCCAGGGCTCCCTGCCCACCACCACCCTCACCCCCTTGCTCTCATTTCCAGCCCCTCCAGAGTACTCAGAGGTGGTGGCAGGTGACGTGGCAGCCGGGGGCCAGAGCCCCTTTCCTCTACCTCAGGACTCCGACATGAGCCTCGAAGGCCCCTTCTTCGCCTACATCCAGGAGTTCCGCTACCGCCCGCCACCCCTGTACTCTGAGGTGAGCTGGGGGATCCAGGAAGCCCCCACACCTTTCCGGGCCCTGGGAGCCGAGAGGGAGGTGGGAGACACAGGGCCTGAACCAGCCTTGAGCCCAGTCTGCTCTAGGGGTTGGAGACGGTCAGGGCAGGGCGGGGTGTTTCTCTGGTGCCCCCTGAGGCTTGATGGGTTTGTTTTCCTCAGGAGGATCCAAACCCCCCCTCTGAAGCCATGAGGCCACGCAGCATGACCTGCTGAGTGGGAGTGGACACCTCAGGGATGAGGTTGCACATGAGCTTCCAGCCTCCGTGGACATGGGGAGTGGCTGGCCCAGGAGAGACCCGCCTGACTGTGGTTGAAGTTTGGGAAATCAAGTCTTGGAATGGGGCAGGGCTGTTCACACAGGACAGAGGAAGAGCCAGCCTGGCATCTGACTGAGCTGGTCCTTGTACGGCATCAAATGGCTGGTGCAGGATCCGAGTGACTGTTCAAGCTGTCTGTGCTGGCCTGTGGACAGGGCTGGGCTCCCCAGGAGCCTCCAGTCTGGGAGAGACACAGCCGGGCACAGATACTTCCAGTCTAGTGGGACCAGAGGAAGGCCTGAGAGAGTCCAGGGAGAAATCAGGGAAGGCTTCCTGGAGGAAAGGGCATTTTAGCCGAAGCTTTGGCATATGAATAAGCTCAGGAGACAGGCAAGCAAGAGAGAGAAGTCAGACAAGGTCAAAGCCGAGTGAAGTTTCGAATCAGGCCCTGGGACAGAGGTCAGCCTGGGGTGACACAGCAGGGCCAGTGTGCTTCTGGAGACCCCTGTGTCCAGAGGGACAAAGCAGGAGGGAGTGGCTAAATAAGCCCCCAACTGCAGAATCCTGGCCCCGGCTGGGGCAGAGTCCCGGCCTGTGTCTCAGCATTCCTAAGCCTTAAATTGTTCTCTTTTGTACAATTATTTTTTTAAATAAAAGTGTTGGAAGGAAGAGACGAGGCTTGTTGGTTTCTCTTCCCCCAGCTGCTGAGGAAGCTGGGGTAGCCTTGACTACCGTCCTGATCGGATTCCAGGCCAAAGAGCGTTGAGGGGCCCATTGCCCAGAAGGGGAAACTGAGGCCCAGGGACACACAGGGAGGCTGAGCTCAGGTTGGAGCCAGACCCCCACAGCCCTCACCTCTCCCCTGGTGCGGTCCCAGGTGCTAGCAACGTGAACAGTGAAGGACAGGAAGCTTCTGTTCTCAGCAAATGGAGAGGAAGAGGCTGGGCTGGATGGGGTTCTGGGCTGCAGGAGGTCCTGACTCTCTGAGTCTGGGCTTTTTTCTTTCTTTCTTTTTTGAGATACAATTCTCATATCATAAAATGGACCATTTAAAAAATATTTTTATTGATTTCAGAGAAGAGGAAGGGAGAAGGAGAGAGAGAGAGAAACATCAATGAGGCAAGAGAATCATTGATCAGCTGCCTCCTGCACGCCAACTGGGCAACTGGGGATTGAGCCCGCAACCCAGGCATGTGCCCTGGACTGGAATCGAATCTGGGACCCTTCACTCCACTGAGCCAAACCAGGACATAAAATGAACCATTTTAGAGTAAACAATTCTTTAGTGTTTAGCGTATTCACAATATTGTGCAACCATCACCTCTATCTAGTTCTAGAACATTTCATCACCCCAGGTTGAGACCCCATCCCCTCTCCTACCCCCCGGCAACCACTAATCTGCTTTCTGTCTATACGTTTCCTGTTCTGGACATTTTATATCAGTGGGATCGCACACTGTGTGACCTCTGTGTCCGGCCTCTCTCCCTCAGCATGTTTTTGAGGTTCACCCACATTGTAGCGTGTCATTGCTTCACTCCTCATGGCTGAGCAATACTCCACGGTGTGTTCATTCGCCAGTTGATGGACATTTGAGTCATTTCCACGTTTGGCGCGTGTGACTAGGGCTTATGTGGACCAATGTGCACAGGGTTTGTTTGAACACTCACAAGGCGTTCGAAGGCAGCCCGCGTGGTGGGAGGTGGTCATTCTCCTGGGGTTGCAGGTGGGGAAAGTGAGTCCAAGGGAGTGAGGTGACTTGCCCAGGGTCCCCCATTAAGGGACTGAGGGAACCGCCACTCAAAACAGCCCCTGGAGCTTAGGAGGCCACACCCCACTTGCTCCTCCCGCAGAGCCAGCAGCTCAGGCTCTGCCTCAGATTCTGAGGTCCTGCCCCTTGGGCCAGGGCCCAGTTAAAGCCCTGGTCTGATCCTAGACTGTCCACCAGCCACCAGCCAGCCTAAGGGCCTAAGGCCGTGGAAATTAACTGGCCACTCGGGATGGTCATTGGTGGGGCTGAGGGGCAGGGATGGGTACATGGGGGTGGGGCGTGGGAACCTAGGGACAACACTGGGAGAGCTGGGTTGAACTTTTGCTGTGTGACTGTGGTCAGGGCACTTGCTTCTGAGCCTCAGTTTCTCCATCTGAGGCTCTGGGACACCTCCCCTCACAGCCCCCATCACCTCCTTCCTTGACCTGATTTGGGGTCTGATTTCCAGCGGCTCCTACTCCCGGGGTCCCCCCAGCAGCATCTGCTCTGGGCAGCGGGCCTGGCACCAATCTCGGAGGGTGCCAGACCTGAATGTCCTGAGACTGGGGCCGGGGGAGATCTTTCCACAGCAGAGGCGCCCAGACCCCAGAGTGGCAGCCTCTAGAGCAGTGGTTCTCAACCTTCCTAATGCCGCGGCCCTTTAATACAGTTCCTCATGTTGTGGTGACTCCCAATTTCATTGTTACAAACTGGACATAATTAAAGCGTAGTGATTAATCACAAAAACAATATGTAATTATGTATGTGTTTTCCGATGGTCTTAGGCGACCCCTATGAAAGGGGCGTTCGACACCCAAAGGGGTCGCGACCCACAGGTTGAGAACGGCTGCGCTAGAGGATGAGTTCCCTGTTGCCCAGGGAGTGCATGACGCAAGATCCCAGTTCCCAAACTGAGACGAGTCCCAGGTGTTTATTGCAACAGCAGATGTGGGTGCAGTTCTAAAAAAGGTTCTCCCAGCAGGCTCGGGAGGGCAAGTCACCCGTGTCCCCAGGAGTCCTGCATCTGCAGCTATGGGGAACCTGATCCTTAGAGGAGATGGATTTTCTGTTTCAGATCATTGATAACCAGGATGCAGCTGGCTCAGGCAGTCCAGAATCCAGGGAACTCCCTGAACACAGGGAGCGGCCCTTAGGGCATAGAGGAGGGTGGCCAAATCTTCTCCTAAAATATAATCCCACCTCTCCCCAGGCTCCTAAGACCTCCCACCTCTCTCCTCCCAGCTCCTTTTGCATCCCTGGCTGCTACTCCAACACCCGAAGCTGGTTCCCACCCCAGGGCCTTTGCACAGGTTCCTTCTGCTGCAGGCTCTTCCTTATGGCTGGCTCCTCTTTATACCCAGCCTCATCTTTTCAGGGACATGCCAACCTCTTGGCTGGTGTGGCCACACAGCCCCCCATCATTCCCTACCCCTGTTGCCTTCATAGCCCTCATCACTCTCTGAAATTCCTATTTAGATATTCACTTATTGGTCTGAACCTCAGAGGGCAGGGCTGGGTTGGATCTGTGTCCCTGGCTCCAGGACACGGCAGGCCTTGCTGACTGAGTGCCTGGAGGGGACTCCTTCCCTACTCTGGTGTAAACAGAGTTGCTGGTGGAGGTGGGGGTGTCACAGCCTTGCACTGGTTCCCAGGACCCCCAACTCAGACCTGGCACCCGTTCAGAGTCTGTCTTTGGCTCTCAGTGCTATCTCAGTCTCTGGCTCTGTCTCTTGCTCACTGTCTCTCTGTCTCTCTCAGTCTCTGACTCTCACTCTCTGTCTCTCTTGTCTCTGTGTCCCCCTACCTCTGTCCCTCACCCTCTCTGTCTCTCTCACTATCTCTCTAGCTCACCATCTCTCTCACGGTCACCATCGCTCTGTCTCTGTCGGTCTCTGACCCTTTCGCCATCTCTGTCCCCTGCTGTGGCCGGGCCAGGCCCAGGGCCCGGGGTGACAGGCAGGCAGAGCTTCCACGGCTTGTTTTCCACCCTCGCTGGCAGGGGGCCCAGCAGGCTGCTGTTCAGGAATCCTCCCGCCACCCTGCTCCAGCCACCAGACGCAGCCACCACTGGCCTGTCCTCCGCCACATTCTGTCCTGAACAGGCTGTGCTGAGGGTAGACAGGAGGGGGGACAATTTCCTGCTGGGCTCCAGTTACAGGACAGCCTGTCCTGGTGGCCCTGCTTCCCACCCAGGGATGCTCCCTGCTGCCTCCCCTCCCAGCTGTGGGCTTAGATCTTCCTGGATTGGGCCCCTCTGCCAGCTCATCCCCACCTCAGGGCCTTTGCTCAGCCCCACCTGTTGTGCCTTTTACCTGGAGCTTCCTCTCCCCAGATCTGCCCCGGACCTTCTCTCCTGCAGGCCTCAGGCCACACACCACCTCCTCAGCACACTCCTGGTGTCTAGGCCAGAGCACCCTGGGGTCCCCTACCCTGGCCTGGTGCGTTTTGCTTCCTGATCTTTTCCCTTCCCCAGGGTTACATAGCTGCAGAGTTGTTTGTTGTGGTGGTTTCTGTTGCCCCGGAGCCCTGCTATGTCCTTGCTCCAGGCACACAGAGTAGGTGTTCAGTGAATAGTTCAGAATTGATGTCACTTCCTCCCAAAGCTCAGCTCTGCTGAAGCTGCCCAGGCTCACTCGCTCACTCCCCATCCCCCTCAGCCTGCCTGACGGCGCACCCCTGCCTCTCCCTGCAGCCCCCTGCTGCTCCCTGCAGCCCCCTGCTGCTCCCTCCCCCACCCCCCTGCTGCTCCCTGCAGCCCCCTGCTGCTCCCTCCCCCACCCCCCTGCTGCTCCCTGCAGCCCCCTGCTGCTCCCTGCACCCCCATGCTGCCCCCTGCAGCCCCCTGCTGCTCCCTCCCCCACCCCCCTGCTGCCCCCTGCAGCCCCCTGCTGCTCCCTGCACCCCCATGCTGCCCCCTGCAGCCCTCTGCTGCTCCCTGCACCCCTGCACTGTTCCCTGCACCCAGTCTCCCTGCCCTCCAGCCTTTGCCCAGGGAATCCTCCACGAGATGCACCTTTTCCAGCAAGGGGCTGGGTCTCTGTCACTCAGGCCCCCAGGGCTCGCACACAGGACGGCCCTAATGCACACGCACGTGCAGAAGCACACACAAGCACGTGCACACGTAGACACTTGGAAACGGGCCAGTGAACAGGCACCAAGAATGCTAACATCTGTCCAAACAGGTACAACAGTAATGACCAGGCTCAGCCCAGCGCTGGGCGCCCGCAGCCCGGCTGAGGGCCTGAGGGTGTTCACATGCTGAGTCCCCACTCCAGTGGCCGTGGCCGTGGCCTCCTGGTATGGGGGAACAGGACGTGGATTGAATCTATGCCGGGTGCACGCAGACTTGTCTGCGCGGTCTCTGCCCTCCCTTTCCCTGGCCTGGAGTCTTCACCACTTTATGTTTCATGTCCAAGGAAGTCCAGGAAAGTCCCCACACAGCCTCAGGCTGGGCACGGGCCCAGGAGAATGGGTGACTCAGCAGGTGGCCATGGGTGCCTGCCACCCTGGGCAGCTGCCTGGGAGACTCACAGAGAAGAACAATGAAGGATGCGGGCCATAGGGTAAACAGGGCCCAGCCCCCAACAGCGGGTGGAGGAGGGGAGGACCCCTCTGTGCTCCAACACCTCAGCCCTGACGAGCTTGATTCACAGGTGGGGAAACTGAGGCACAGAGAACAGGTGATTTGCCCAAGGCCCACCAGCCAGGGTGGGGCAGGCAGGAACCTCCGAGTCTTGAGGGCATCTGCTCTCCCTGCCTGGCCTCAGTGAGCAAAAGGAGCCAAGTCCAGAGTGGACATGTGATCAAATCTGGCCAAATAGAGCCTTTTGTCACCACAGACGCGGGAATTGGTTCAGGGATGGGCATGTGACCCTGGGAGTACGAGGGCTCCCTGGAGGTGAGGATGGGCCTGGAGGTGAGGAT